ACGGGCCCCCCCCCCCCACATTAATGTCACAATATTTTGCCGGACGCAGGAGGTTGGTAGTACGTATTTCTGATTAATATATAAATGCAAGTAAACTTTAATATGTTCTTATTTTCTTTTTTCACAAAAAATAATATTTTGTTATTTTTTTCATAAATAAATTTTAATATTTTATTAAAAATTAAAGAAAGAGTAGAGCGTTGCAACGACCGATAGATTCCCAACAGGAGTTGTTCCCATGCATGTGTCATCGCATGACTCTTTGTAGTTAATTTCGGCGGTTGTTAACATTGTACATGCCTTGAATTAAATTTTTGGTCTTAATTAAATATCTAATATGAAGTCTTATTTATAAAATAAAATGACACAAAAAATATTAAAAATACGAAATTAAATATTAAAACATGGAGTTGTTTGTCTCGAGGTTGGGTGACCGACCGCCTTCTTTATTTTTATCTATTCATTCAAATTTATAAATTTATAGTATGTACATGTGCGTGCATACACGTAAATGTACGTATATACGTATATATGTAATATATTAAGTTGGACCAGAAAAAAAATTCAGCCATAGAAATCGGTTTGATAAACCAAATGTATGTTTCATTCATGGGATAATGTCGGCTATCTGTTGTCAGATGCCATGTTCCCGGTCTGCGTTTCGTCAACCTTCCTTCTTATCAATCAACGATTTTTCAAATATTATCTGCATGACAAATCTGAAATAAAAAATAAATGTCTCTTATTTTATATTTTTTTGTTAAAATATATGTTTATGTTGCTGATCATCGGTGAAGGTAAGACTGAAGTAAAAATTGATTTTTAGATTTGTAATATATTTGATTGATTTTGTTGGATAAAATAATGTATTTTTCGCACTTATCCGTATCTTAAAGAATATTTTTTTAAAAGTTGTCGAACGAAATTAAATTTTTATAAAAAAAAAAGATGAATTGGGCGTACTGATATTAAAAGTATTTCCAGTCTCCAACCATACCAATGGAGATAAATTGGACTCCCGAAAAAATAATATTTAAAAGTTAAAAGTTAAATAAAAGTGAGTAATTTGGTAAATTAATTCAGTGCATATATTATATGATATATACACACACACATATGGAAAGGGAAAACAAGCTCACGCGCTTTAGAAAAGTCGTGGAGGGAGGTATTAATCTGACGGTTACTAATTGCCGCCACGGTTGACTCCTCCACTATCTGGCCGACATATATGATATGTCGACCCCTTACATGCCCCACATCGCCTTCCCCACGCGCTAACTTTGCGCGTGAGATATTAATTTTCCATGTAATTTTACTCTATCTTTTTATTATCTTGAATCGAATTGTTTTTCTTTTATGAATGTCATTTAAATACATGGGATAAAGCCTTATTACTATTGGTCAAAGGGAAGCTTAAACACATGCTTTTTTTCCTGGTATTTCCTTTTTTTAATTCGACCGTCCCCATTGACGACATGCGGCATGCCCACCTTACACGATAGGTGTGAAACCATTACCTTCAAATTAAAAAAATTTAAGGAAAACAAATAAATACTTCCTCTCTCTCTCTCTCTCTCTCTCTCTCTCTCTCTCTCTCTCTCTCTCTTCCATACACTATATAATAGACACCATGTCCGCCAAGAGAAGATGAACCTCCACCTCCGATATTTGGACTTCACCAGAGAAAAAAAAAACCCGGAAGACTTTTCCGTCATACAGAGACTACCCCTCCTCCGAGAATCTCGATACCAAAAATGGTTTCGCCTTCTCCAATTCCAGTGCAACCCACCGACAAGAACACCAAACCTGCAACGGAGTACTATGATTTCCCGGTGATAGATTTCTCTACAGAAGACAAGTCCCAACTCTCGGAAATGATCGTAAGAGCCTGTGAAGAACACGGGTTCTTCAAGATGATAAACCACGGAGTGAGTTCAGGTGTTATATCGAGGTTCGAACGTGAGGGTGAAGAGTTCTTCAAGAAACCGGCGTCGGAAAAGCTTCGAGCCGGTCCGGCCAGTCCCTTTGGATATGGATGCAAGAACATCGGCTTTAATGGCGACATGGGCGAGCTCGAGTATCTTCTTCTCCACGCAAATCCCTCATCTGTCGCCGACAAATCTGAAACTATCTCCCGTGATCATCCCTTTGAGTTCAGGTACGTATACGTTACATGTATTGTACGTATTCGTTCGTTTTCTTTTATATGTTTAGTTTTAATCTTTTTGAGTTCTTGTGTTCATTCCGAGTCATGTTTACTGGGCAATCACGTAAAAAACGTTTGAACGCACCAAAACATCACAGCTGTCAATGTCGGTTTCTAACCGACGGCAGATTTTAATTAATGTCGGGTTCTGAATTTGGGTATTGAACTGTACAAGCATGCAAATTACCGCTATTTCAGTATGCATAGTCTCGTGTGTCGACCAAATCTAAATGATGATTTTAGCTGTACACACATGCATGGTGAAGATCGTATGCTAACAATTTGATGATAAATACGTACGTACGTTGTGAGTGGCTTTTATCCGTTATACAGTGAATTTATGATACCATACTCTATAGATATACATACTTGTGCTAAAGTTGACCTGGTGGTTACATATTTATGTGAAAAATTATGGGATACAATGATACATAAAAGGCGAGATTTGTTATATCGTGGGATTTGGTAAAGACCCGAAGACACGGCTTTTTTGTAATTGACTTTGCTCCTTTGTTGCCATACAAGTTGTCGAGATTTTATGCGTAGTTTATGGCGTTCGTTCTTTATAATAGCATACTATATATCATATATGTTATATCAATAAATAATTAATATCCACGACGAACTATCTGTTACAGCCATATCTTATCGTATTGGATCGATGATTCATGAATAATTGGATTCATACGGAACTAGAATTCAAGGGCTATAACATGATTATATATATATATATATGATATATTAATTAATATCCCCTTCATTTCATATATTATAACGTGAATTGCATTGGACCATTAGACAGCGATAGGATTTCTTCATTAATTTGATGTTTGATTAATTAAATTCTAAGATTACATTTTAATTGTCCTCCCGAATTCGGTGGTCATTTGCTACCTTTTTCCATCTTATCTAAATTGGGCAGTTTCAAAGCCATATATATATATATATATATATATTATGCACGTTTATTTTAATCACACCGTATATATACACACAACCCTTTCATGGGGTCCACATGTTGGTTGTGGTTGCATTGATAATTGTACAAGCAGGCGCTCGATTACATGATATTAATTGCATATATATATATATATATGGTGTGGAAAACACATATAATAATGGAACTAATTAAGTGATTGTAATTGACATGTGCATGAACGTCAATGGAACCAGGATAAGATCGAATAGGTGAATCTCATTCTTCGTACGTACATCTTAGATCTTGACCTTTTGAATTCCATTGTCTAAATCATGTCACAAAAAAGCCGTGGGTCCAATCCTGGGGACATTCCTCCACATTTTTATCTCACTTAACATCACGTATCCACACACACACACATATATATATATATATATATATGCACGTTTATTTTATCTTTTATCCTTCCCTCTTATATATATACACATATATATATTCTAGAAGGGGGAAAGGATCAAATATTACTCGAGGTGCTCGTGAACTGTATCAATGCTGATAGATGTTTATGCCACGTGGCATGATAATGTAGCTCGGCGACGAATGACTACATCGGAGCAGTGAAAGGTGTGGCGTGCGAGATACTTGATCTAACGGCGGAGAAAATGTGGGGAAAGAGATCGACGGTGATGAGCGAGTTAATCAGAGACGTCCGTAGCGATTCGATCCTACGGCTGAATCACTATCCACCTGTCCCATATGCGATGAAGGGTGTTAGTCAGATAGGATTTGGAGAGCACTCGGACCCTCAGATCTTGACGGTGTTGAGATCCAACGGTGTAGATGGCCTCCAGATATTCTCACGTGACGGCTCCTGGCTCCCCGTCCCGTCCGACCCCACCTGCTTCTTCGTTTTGGTCGGTGACTGCTTCCAGGTATAATATAATATTTTTTTTTAATTTGCTACTAGTTATTATAAAATATCCCCTAAAACACGGAATTTGGTAAAATTTGTCAAACAAAATATTATATGACATATTTTCTTTGGTTGGAATTGACACTAAGATAAAATTTCGGCACAGGATTGAGATGTGATATAGATTTTTTTTCCCATAATAATAACCATTATAAATTGATTTAAATTCGACCGATGATTATTTGCAAGGTATATGATTTTTTTTACAGCACAATAGAAAAAAAATCAAGTATTAATTAAAAATTACAATATTTATGACATTTTTTAAAAAAAAACACTGTTTTTAATGAATTTTTCACTCAAATCTAGATGTTATAATGAGCATGAGTAATCATTGGGTTTTCTTTTAAAATAAATAAATAAAACAGGCGTTGACGAATGGGAGATTTAGGAGCGTGAGGCACAGAGTGATGGCGAACACGGCGGCGAAGCCAAGGATGTCGGCGATGTACTTTGCCGCGCCGCCGTTGGAAGCAAAGATATCGCCGTTGCCGGAGATGGTTTCGCCGGAGAATCCACGGCGGTATAAACCCTTTTATTGGGGAGACTACAAGAAGGCTACCTTCTCTCTCCGTCTCGGCGTCCCTCGCCTCGAGCTCTTTAGGAATTCATAAAATAAAAAAAAACTTCATTCATCTTTTTTTTTTTCTCTTCTTCTCTTTCTAATGTCAACACAGTGATAATACATAGATGGACTATAAATATACACGTTATGATGTATATAGTTCGTACACACCATTAGTGAAGAGAGATACAGTTTGATTCTTCTGCATGCAAAAAGCCGAATATACGTGGACTGCGATAATTCGAATCTTTTTCAGAATATTATTAGTGCACATTTTTTTATTTATTTATAGGAATCAGCTTTTTTTTCTTGTATTTATAAAAAGGGTCAAAGTCAAAGGGATGGCATCTTCGTCACTCAGCGCGTCCCGTCATGATCGCACCTGGTCCCCTACACGTGTAATCGATAAGATGGTCAAGAAATCGGTACAGCCGGCGTGCATGCTAACCGGATTCCAACGTCAAAACCGGTTCAGTGGATTTGACCCAAAGATCTTTGTTCCGTGCATTCAATACGCATACGTGAAACTGCAATCTTCAGAGGAAACATTTGCAAGGATACGTCAAATCGGTGACCGTAATCTTTGCCAATATACCAAATCACATCATTTGGATAACGGCGTCGTTTATTGAAGGCAAGAACACAGATAAGAATAATACCCTTCGGGGGGGCTCATGGACCATTTCCGACCAACTCCAAGTGAACAAATCAATTGGTCTTTTTCATTATAGTTCAGGTAACTTGAATAACAAGTCAGTAGCCACTTCTCCACATAATACATATATATATATATATATATATATATATGGAGGATCAAAGTGATTCGATGTTGGATAAAAGGGAACCACTTTATGTCCCAAGAAAGCTGCATTGTCTCCTCGCATGCTCTGGTACAAGCTTCACCAGTATTTCTTGAGGAACACCTTCTAGCTCTGATGACAAAGACAACATTGATACTGTTAGCTCTATCCATGTGAAGAAGAACATGAACGAGTAATACCACAAAAGGAGAGAGAGAGAGAGAGAGAGAGAGAGAGAGAGGAGAGAAAAGTCAGCTCGAGGATGATGGAATTACCGCGAGGTTTGAAATTGAAAAGCGGTGGGAGGCATCGCCCGTTTGGCGTACAAGGGGGTTTGGGGTCACGCAGCTCGTCGAAGAAAGGATGCGTTAACGCTTCTAACTGCCATTGCAAAAAAAAAAAAAAAAAAAAAACGTACGAGAAAAGAAAAAACATGAGCAGAAACACTGAGCAACATCAAGATTTCTGTCTTGAGCATGATTTGTTTTTTTTGGTTGTTAACCTCGAAACAACAAGATTGCAGAAGTTCAAGATTTCTATTGTTAAAAAAGAATGCTCAGGGAAGAATTGCAGATTACTGAAGGATACTGTATATTTATAAAGTGACTGATGAGTAATGCTTTACTTACAGCAGTGCATCTAAGGTTCGGAGAGTATTGTAAGAATCTCGAGACAAGATCCAATGCTTCAGGAGGCATGAGCTTGGGGAATATCTGAATCAAACCAAGATTCTCATGAACCAAAAAAATCCATAAAGAATATAATCGGATGAACTCAAGAAGGTATGATCCACGTACTTTGTGCCATGGCTGGGCCTTTATCTGGGGGAATTTGAACTCTGTGTACCTAGGGTTCATGCACTTTATTTCTTCTCTTGTCGGGGTACCTAAGATCTGCATGGAAATCAAATCAAACTACCAAAAACAAGAAAGTTTACATTCCATAGAGTAAATGAATACGGGGTTTATTGTTCTGAAACCTTGGCGATTTCAACGAGCTGGTCAACTCTGCTCTCACCAGGAAAGAGAGGCTGAATCACCAGAAACAGCGTGTTAGATATGTCTGAACGAGGTAAATGATAGGTTATATACAAAGAGTTTTTACCTTTTACCGACCTGCCCAAGAAGTAGTTCGGCCAACACACAGCCAGCTGACCAGATGTCGATTGCTGTAGTGTATTCAGTGGCCCCACATATGAGCTCAGGTGCTCGGTAGTACCTTGAACAAATGTACGATATGTTCGGTTCTCCTTTCACCTAAAAAAAATACCCAATTCAGGCACGGAAAAATAGCCGAATATGCATTCAGATATCGGAGAAAAACAAGTTCATATCTGTCCTCGTGGCTTGAATCTACATACCAAGACTTTGGCACTACCAAAATCACAAAGTTTCACCTGGTTGGTATTTGGGAAAACCTGTCACAGACAAAAGTTCACATTTTTTTAGAAATGCTCATTACAGAACTTGAATAAGGGAAGATCTATCCACAAAAGCCATTCAAAGGAGAAACCTTTGATTATTTAGATCAATTAAATGTTGTGATGCCAAGTGAAACAAGAACAGTTAAGGTCGGTGTCCTTTGATACATACTAACAGATTTTGTGGCTTAATGTCTCTGTGGCATACTCCAAAACAGTTATGGATGTAAGCTAGGGCCCTGCAGATCTGTAGATAGCAAAATGCCAAAGACAAAACCCCTAAGTATAATAAAAACACAAAACCTGGATAAAGGGAAATGCAACTACATGGCTTTGAGATTAATGTGATAAGGCATACCTGGTAAAAGTAGATCTTTGCATTTAACAGTGGCATCCTTTGGTTCATCTTGTTGTAATTTTTGATCACTCTGTCAAGAGTTTCAGGCACATACTCCAGTACTAGGTTAAGATAAAGCTCATCCTTTTTGGTCTTGGTGAAGAAAGAGTGCCTGAGAGACACGACATTAGGGTGGTCCAGAGGACGCATTGTCTGCAATTCCCGGTTTTTGTATCTCTTGTCTTGCAAGACTGTCTTAATTGCCACAGTTTCACCAGTGTCTAAGCACTTTGCCTGCATAACCATATCAAAATTCTTAAGAAACAAGAACATTATAAGCCAATTCCTTTGAATATTATCTGGGGCATATATCAATGCCCGATCGACAAGAATGAACAGATCAATAGCAGAAGGAGAAGCGATATACCTGAAAAACTATTCCAAAAGATCCACTTCCAACGAGATGCTCAGCCATGTAGCTTATTGTCTGAATTAAGTATTTAAGAAACCACATAAGAAAGAAGAACAAATAAGACACACAGAAAACCGGGTACTTCCAACTAAGGAACGACCATTACATGATCTGTAAGAGACGAAATATTTCGCAGGAGATGCTTCTGCATTACCTGCTTTGGCTGATCGGAGTTACCACCACCGGTAGGAACGATTATATGACCAGTTCCCATGCCATTATCCTCAACCACGGGAGCTTCCATTTCCTTTGTAAGGAACAACACGCATCATGCTACCACATCGTAAGTCAGGCTAAATAATGGCTAGAGCGAGACAGTAACTTGAAAGTTATAAAGATCAGACGACCACAAGCTCACATTTTCATCATCCTTTATTTTCATATCCTTCAATTTCTCGGGCAATCTATCGACACTTGCCATGTTTAGGATTGTATCTCTTAATCCAGAAACAGTCCCCACACCTACGGACGCCGTATGGGTAACCCTCTTCCGAATTCACTCCCCCAATTCAACTGATGAAAACAGAAGATTGATAGTTATTCACTCAAAAAGCATACTTTACGAATCCTAATCATAGCCAATGCAGACCCGAAAAGAAAAAAAAAACCAAATCTGCATTCTGACGGGACAAAATTCAACCTTTCTTAATCAGCAAAGAGAAAACATCATATGTGTGTCTCTATTTCTCCTTGCGTGGATATCAAACGCCAATGAAGGTTAGGGTTTCCTCTGGCAACTGTTTCGATGTAGCTTAGTAGAAAATGAAAGGAACTTAATCTAACCAAAATCAAAATACATGGCAATCAGAAACCCCAAACAGTCAAGTTCCTGATTTTCTCGCACTTTTCTTACACTTGGCACCCAGCGAAACACTGATCGATCGTCGCGGATAAGAAAAGTTACCGAATTTCAAGTAGATCAAGTAAAAGCCGCTAATGGGCATGAACCTAAGAACAGACACTCAACCAAAAAAAAAAAAAAATCTTGAAATCCCCTGAGAGTTACAAACCGGAAAACAGAAGAACAAACCTTTGATGAACACGCATTGATGAGCAGAGAGAATAAAACGTGATAATGATCCCCGCAGAAGAATCCCGTCACCAATTTGATGGAATATAAAAGCGAGGAGCAGTTGAAACCTATGTAGAATTTGGCATTATAAGTTGGGGAGAGAGGAGAGAGAAAGTAAGAAGAAGAAGAAATTGGACAGAACAGAGTTGGCGATGTTTGTTTGGAGGTTGGTAAGGGCCGGGTGATGCTGTCGTTTTCCTCCCCCTTTCCTTCTCCCGTTCTTTTTTGCGTCTTTTTATTGATTTCGTTTGCATAATAAATTTGACTTTTAAAATGAAATTCCAATTTCCATCCATAAATAAATGCATCATAGAATCTCTAACTTAACTTTAAAAGATATCAATACGATATTTATGTTAGAGGATATTAAGGAATAATCATGCGATCCATTTTGGTTTAAGGTATAGTTCAAGTGAATAATCAGACTATTAATCAGTGTATCAACTTCGAATAATATAGAGAAGTGTATATATATACAAAAAGCTTTAAAAGATGTATACAATAAGAAAAATAATATTAGAATCTTAGGGAAAAACAATGGGCCGAACTGAAAAGGGCCTACAAAGAGCTTGTGTATATATATATATATATAATGGAGACATAATGCCTATATTTTAATCTTCTTTTGTTTTGTCAATGGCTATATTTTATAATGGCATCCTGCAAATAATGTAATTTTTGTCGTGTATTATATAAATGTGATTTTATTTTTAAGTAAGGAATTTATAGTAGATGGACTGCAGAGAATAGGGAGGTACGGCAAGAAAAGCTAGATTCTTCCCTATCTCTGTTGTCTACCTACACTACATTTCTCATTATTTTCATAAAACAAAATACATTTGTGATTATTTATCCTCTCTAATGATTTAATTTCCCATTTAAAACATTGATCATCACCGCGGGGATAGCTCAGTTGGGAGAGCGTCAGACTGAAGATCTGAAGGTCGCGTGTTCGATCCACGCTCACCGCACATTTTGTCTTCTAGTTTTTATTTCAAAATATTATTCTAATTGGGCCTTCAGGCCTTAAAATACCTTTATTTGTACCTTTTTTCCAAGCTTGGGAAGCCCATTGGGCCTTTATTTTATAATTTTATACTAATTGGGCTATGAGGCCTAAAATAGATCTGTTTTTACCTTTCCCATTTTCAAGCTTTTGAAGCCCATTGAGCCCAAAGTAGATTCACTTAAACAAATTACAATCGACTCGAACTAGTGAAGTTCAAACAAAGTTTTGTTCTGTTACAGAGACGCAGCAAAAACCATGACGGACGACGACCGCCGCCGCAACTGGAAGCTTAACGTCGGAGAGTACATCGGCGACGTGGCTTCCCTATGTTTCCTGAACCTTCCTCCTCATGTTTCCTCGATTCCTTACCTTCTCGCTGGTGGGCGCTCCCTGCAATTTTCGTCTTCGAATCGAACTCTCTCTCGGATTGTTTTTGTTCCCTCCTGATTCTGGGGTTTTAATTCTATTAATGTTGTGTTTAAAATAGGTTCCGGCTCTCAGATTCTGATATACGATTTGAGTTCTGGGGAATTGATTCGCTCGTTTCAAGTGTTCGAGGGGGTTCGCGTCCACGGTACCACCTGTAGCAGCAGCTTTCTCCGTGAGGCGGATCGATATACTTATAAGCTCGTCATCTTCGGAGAGAAAAGAGTGAATGTTTTTGCCTTGACGCTTGAATATGCTTCGAGCTCTGGAAAAACCGACGTGAATTTGAGCTTGCTTGATTCTTTGGCGAGGCTTAGCAACTGGGTTTTAGATGTTTGTTTCTTGCAGGTTGAAATTTATGTTTCTATGTTTGGCCATTGGTCCTCTTCTTCTTAATGTTCTTTCTGTGTGTGTATGTTGTGTTTTTTTTAATGGGTGGATTGATTTTTTTTAAATAGGACTCTGTTGGCTCATTCGAGGAAGAACGTGAGCTTCTAGCAATTGGTTGTAGTGATAATTCTATCTGCGTTTGGGATTTTAAAGAAACACGGATGTTTCTCGAAGTTCAATCGCCCGGTTTGTTGTTCTGTCCTGTGGCTCAAGGATTATGAATTACTCGAATTAGGGTTTCGGATTCGACTGAATATTTGATGCTGAACTACTTTTTGAATTGCAGATAGGAGCCTACTATATTCTATGCGATTATGGGGCGACAGTATTCAAAAACTCCGCATAGCATCTGGTACTATTTATAATGAGGTAGCTGATCTTTTTCTTGTTTAATCACTGTGGATGCTTCATTTAGTTTCTGTCATCCTCTGGCTAAATCATTGGACAATGTAAGAGAAAATCCAGTTATGGTGATTGATGTTTCTTTTCTTGCACTCTTTTTCTTGTTACTTAGAAAAAAAAAGCATTTCTAAAGCCGAATCTTTGACGTAAGGTACCAATGTAGCCAAATCTTTTGATGTCTGGCAGATTATTGTTTGGAGGCCAGTTCTGCTTGATGATGATAGGGTTGACCATCAGCATTACGGCGCTGTACGTATGCTTAGGCTTACAGGACATGAGGGTTCAATATTTCGCATCGTTTGGTCGTTGGATGGGTCAAAACTAGTCTCTGTCTCTGATGATCGTAGGTGAACGTTCTTTGTATTTTTCAACATAAATACTTAATTTTTATCCAATCTCAGTTCACTTTGCTGATCTGTCTAATGTAATTGTTTAATTTTTTTTTACTTATAGTGCAAGGATATGGGAAGTTGATTCTGTGCAAAATCATGCTGATAATTGGCAGGAGGTTGTTGGCCCTGTGCTTTTTGGTCACAGTGCTAGGGTCTGGGACTGCTGCATCACTGATTCTGTAAGCTTCTGGCCTATCTTGGTGTTATTAGTTATGTTTGAGTTGAGACATGATGCATTATTTGCTCTGGTATTTCCATGTTCTGTTTCAGCTGGTCATCACTGCTGGCGAGGATTGTACATGTCGTGTCTGGGGCTTGGATGGTAAACAACTAGAGATTGTCAAGGAACATATGTAAGTGGTGAGATGGTGTTTTGTCTATCACACTATTCACTTGGTGATTTTGTGGTGGAATAAGACTGATGATTTTTTATAATATGTTTACCATTCAGTGGAAGGGGCATATGGAGATGTCTCTATGATCCTAGCTCATCACTTCTTGTTACTGCTGGATTTGACTCCGCCGTCAAAGTACATCAATTGCATAATTGTGGTTCTGGAACCTTTTTGGGCAATACAGGAGCGAGATCATCCCCTGAAAAAATGGAGTCTCTTTCGGTTTGCCTCCCAAATTCAACACAACATACTGGGCTCATGGACAGGTTCGGTGTCTGCTTCTTTAACTTTTCCCTTACATAAATTATGAAGTAGAGTTTCCTTTGTGTATATTGTTTGTCCATGAATTCATTTTGGTTGGGAATTAAAGACACGGAATTATGTCAGCTATCTGAAGTAATGATTGAAAGACCAGAGGCAATATAAATCTTTTAACTCGGATACATTTTCCTTCCAGAGTCTTTCTTTTTCTTTAAGAAAAAGAAAGCCAGGATACTTTAACTTCTCTTCCATGCAGTTGGTATATTTATCTTCTTGTGATATAAGTGGAAACACGGATGATGCTTTCCTTGCAGCAAAAGTGAGTATGTACGCTGCTTGCGCTTCACACAGAACGATACCATGTATGTTGCTACAAACCATGGTTTCTTGTTCCATGCAAAGCTATTGACATCTGGAAATGTAAAGTGGGCCAAATTAGTTCGCATTCCCAAAGAGGGGCCTATTATCTGCATGGATGTGATGCGTGGAAGAGAGATGCACAAATCTTGTGAATTAGATGATTGGGTTGTTCTTGGAGATGGAAAAGGATACATGACAATTGTTCGAGTTGTTGATGATACGTATGACCCTGTTGTGGGCTTGAGGCAAAGTTGGAAAGCTGGCCCTGAGAGACAGCTCCTTGGCACCTTCTGGTGCAACTCGTTAGGATTTAGGTAATACTTTGTCGTATTTGGATCTTTTACTTCCTTTAAGGCATGTCTCCTGGAAAATTATGCATCATTATATTAGTTCCTGCACACGCCTGAGCTAATGTATGAAGTTGCTCAACAAACAGAAGTTTACGGTTTCTTATGATCTTTCAGCCAGAACTATTCTCCATCCTGTGGGCCCATTGTAAATATGTCCGAAATAATAACCAATTGTGAGGCGTTTGTCTACAAATTCGATCTCGGAAATATGAGATCAGATTTTTGACAAACTTACTGTGGGTGAAAATGCCATGCTACTCGCCTCACAATTGGTAATTATTTCGGACATATTTACAATGGGCCCACAGGATGGAGCCATGTTCATTTTATGAGTTTAAAGTTTGTAATCTCTTTCTTTCAGGTATGTATTTTCGTCCAATCCAAGAGGACAACTGATGCTTTGGAAATTAACTTGTCCTTTAGCATCTGATTCTTCCGATGCTTCTGGGACCTCTGATATCTCTCTTTTGGCTGAATTCTCCTCTTCGTTTGGAATGCGAATAATGTGTCTGAATGCATCTGTTGAGGATGAGGTAAATGATTGTTTCAATAATTCCTTGTTTTCATTTCTGTCTTTATCATTTACTCCACCGGACTTATGGCATTATTGATTGATCCACCTGATCAACTAAGAATCTATCTTGGAACGCAAAGATTGGTCTACTCATGCATCTCTGGGTAAAAATCAGGATGTAAATTGTTTCCCGTCATCATTTTAGACGTTGAGAGTAACTTTTTAGATTGAAAAGGTTTACTAAGTCTCTTTTCTTTTCCTACCTGATATCATAATTTGGCTGGTTTAAATACTCCTCTGTTTTTTACAGGTGCTTGTGTGTGGAGATATACGTGGCAATATCTCACTCTTCCCTCTGCCAAAAAGCATGCTATCTAACTCATCTGTTTCTCCGGAATTGAAGATATCTCCAACAAATTATTTTAAAGGTGCCCATGGGATTTCAACTGTTTCCAGTCTTTCAGTTGCAAGACTTACTTACAACAAAGTGGAAATCTGCTCGGTATGAGTGAACTCTGTATGTTTACGATCTTATGTTCTCCTTGAGTTTGGTAACTAGGAAGAAAAATCACAAAATACTTATCAACTTTTTTCTTGTCGCATTGACAAGGACTTTTTGCGCTCATCTTTGTTTTCTAAATTTTTGCTGTCAGACTGGAGGAGACGGCTGCATATGCTATTTCGAGTATGATAAAGAGAGGCAAGCTTTGGAGTTCATGGGTCTGAAGCAAGTGAAAGAGTTGAGTTTAGTTCAATCTATCTGTCAAAATTTGAGCTTGGCAAATGACCAGCCAAATCATGAATATGCGGCCGGGTTTGCATCAACAGACTTCCTAGTGTGGAACATAACTAACGAAACAAAGGTACATCTTTGCCTTCTCTTTGTATTAGCTATTTGTACAAACCTTATTTATGCAATGTTGCTGACAACAGGTGGCACAAATCTCATGTGGTGGATGGCGCCGTCCCCATTCCTTTTATTTAGGGGATATCCCTGAGATGAACAACTGCTTTGGATATGTTAAGGTGTATCTTTGAGTCTCTGTTGAAGTCTCTGTTTATCGATACTTGTTCTTTAGCTAATTTTCAACCCCACCACTATTTCTTTTTCATAGGATGATGTCATTCATATCCATAGACAATGGGTTGGAAAACAAGACAGCAAAGTATATCCTCAGAATTTGCGCATGCAATTTCATGGAAGAGAGATACATTCCGTATGTTTCATCTCTAGGGATACAAAAGCAGGATTAGAGGCTGAAGAATGGAGATCGTCTAATCGATCTAGTTGGATTGCAACTGGGTGTGAAGATGGAACTGTGAGATTGACTAGGTAGAATCATTATCTGATGAACACTGATTTTGAATTTTTTTCATTTAAACATCTAAAAGTAAAAGGGTTGACTCAGGTTTGCTTCGGACGTTGAAAATTGGTCAGCATCAGAGCTATTAGGGGAACATGTTGGTGGCTCAGCTGTGAGGTCGGTTTGCTGCGTATCAAAAACTCACAGAAGTGCTTTGGACCTTACTAGTCTAGCTGGCAGAGGTGGAGAAGACTCTCCAGATGAAGATAATGGAAGTCCTTGCTTACTAATTTCTGTTGGAGCTAAGCGTGTCTTAACTTCGTGGCTCCTAAGAAATGGTAGAAGTAATAAAAGGGAAGAATCTTCTGTACATGAAAATGGACACAGTACTGCTTCATTGGAATCGTCACCAGTGACGTTCCAGTGGCTTGCTACGGACATGCCCCGAAAAAGTTCTCATCCTTGTGGAAGAAGTGAGACACCTGGGAAAGTTCCGGGTGTTGGTGGCAAAGATGTCCTGAATTCAGGGTCCAATTCTCATCAAGTCAGAGAAAAATATGAAGATGACTGGAGATATATGGCAGTTACTGCGTTTCTTGTAAAATGTGCTGGTTCCAGGTCAAGTAGTAAGATTTTGCTTGTTTTGTGTGCTCATCTATAATTAGTTTGTTGATGTTAAAATCTTGTCTGTTCATCCTTTCAGGCCAACTATCTGTTTTGTTGTTGTGGCTTGCTCAGATGCCACCCTCACATTACGAGCACTTGTTTTACCACATAGACTATGGTACTCAAGAAGCATTTTCTGTGTTTTGATGAATTGGATCCTTTTGATTCTATGTTCATTTGTAATCTTCTCTTCTTCGTGCGTTTTCAGGTTTGATGTTGCATCTTTGGCTCCTTTAACATCACCGGTCCTGTCACTACAACATGCTGTTGTTCCTCTTTGCCTCCTTCCTGAAGGTTCAGTGACACAATTAACTTCTCATTTGTGCTAAACTAAATTTTATATCGGTTTTAGTAGATGTGGTTGAAAATAAGAAATTAATAAGAAATTTCGGAAGAATTTATGAAAATCTTTCTAAATCTTTCAGCCACAAATCTTTTGAGCATCTTAAATATAACCACTCCTGTGAGTTTGTTTCATTGTTTGGCTTTTTTTATTGCATTGGTAATAAAATCTGACAGGTGATGGTCCAGCTAGTAATGTGTATCTTGTCATCAGTGGCGCCACTGATGGAAGCATAGCCTTCTGGGATGTGACTAAAAACGTTGAAGCTTTTGTAAAGCAAGTATCAAGCCTCCATATTGAGAAGTTCATTGATTGTCAGAAACGGCCACAAACAGGAAGAGGAAGCCAAGGTGGTCGGAAGTGGAAGTTTTCGGGCCCAAACATGTCTAAACAAGGACAAGACAACAATTTGGTTGGCGAAACTTCCCTAGAAGATTCAGCAGTGCATTCTGAACTCACAAATGGTGTTCCTCACGAGAGTGACGTAAGTAAAAACGGTGATTCTCCACCCGAGACAAGCAAAGTAGAACCCTCACATGTTGTCAGGAGAGCTCACCAATCAGGGGTTAATTGCCTACACGTTTCTTGCTCACGGAGCTCCCAAAGTCATGGAAACTGTTTTTCATTCGATGTGATTAGCGGAGGCGATGACCAAGCACTTCATTATCTCTCTTTCGACATCTTTGACTCAGGCAAGAAATCAGAAACCATGATGCATACTGGTCAGAACCAAATCTGCAGTTACAGACTCAGGCTCATAGACCATGGAGTAATGACCTCGGCTCACAGCTCTGCCGTGAAAGGTACATATATATTGGGAAAAAAAAACTCTCCAAGCCCTTTCCATTTCAAGGAACAACCAGAAGTCCCCCTAGTGTGGACTTCGTATATCTTCCTTCATATTCTCCATTGAAATCTGTTGGGGAAATCTTAGTTCTATCCCCATTTTTACAGTAATCCCTCCATGAGAAACTGAACCTGGTTTTTACACATAATAGGTGTGTGGATGGATGGAAACTGGGTATTCTCTACAGGTCTTGATCAACGCATAAGATGTTGGCATATCGATGAAGATGGTAAACTAACAGAGCGTGCCCATGTTATCATCAGTGTCCCCGAGCCAGAAGCGCTGGATGCTAGAACTTGTGGCGAGTAAGTTGCAAGCTTCAAACTCTGGACTTTTACAATCCAAAAAGACCTTTCCTTTGATTTTGCTTCTTGCACGCCTAAGTTTCTTGCTTTAATCTCTCCTGCAGAAACCGATATCAGATCGCCGTTGCTGGACGTGGGATGCAAACCGTTGAATTCTCATCGTAACAGCCCGGTTGAGATCCATTTTGAGGTACAACCTGTTCTAAACCGAAGTAATTGCTTCCACAGTTCTGAATTTTGTCCCAAAATGCCCATTGTACGTTTGGATTGTAGCTTTCCTGTGGTCCAACCGGAATCGAGATGATTACTATGTACCAGCGAGAATGACATGGGAACAACAAACCCTCAATACCATATTGATACCAAACCGACCTTGATTTCTGGTTTGACTAAACCGAGTTGCTGGTTGAGCTCGGTTAGGAGCTGATTGCATTGGTGGGCGCTCCCTGAAATTTCATTTCTGTCGGTGGTGCCACATTAAATTTTGGTGGGGTAGATCTCTGGTCCCTTTTGTTGTGAACGTGACGTTATTTCTGAAACCCATGTGGACCCCGCATGAGCGCAAACCGGAGCTGTGTTCACGGCATCATGTGTCATGTAATAAAAGATGTGGTAATTTATTATTAACTCCACCGACTAGATATTTTGATTTTGTTTAAGGGTGGAATTAATCGTGCATGGGTTTTGCATAGGGGTGTCAAAACGAGCCCGGCTCGTGAGCTGGCTCGTGGCTCGCCAGAAAACGAGCGATCTGAGCCGTAATTTTTTCAGGTCGTTAAAAAACGAGCCTAACGAGCCAGAGCTCATTGAACACGTGTTCAATGAGTCTGGCTCGGCGAGCTGGCGAGCTGCTCAACGAGCTGGTATTTTTTTTAAAAATAAATTAAATTTATATAAAAAAACTCTAATATAATTTTATATTAATTTTTTTCATATTATTTATATGATATTATAAATATACTAATTATTATGATGGTGATAATTGAAAATATTAAATGATATAGGTGTTTTAATAAAATTTTATGTATTTATTTAAATTTATAATTATATTTAAAATAAATATAAATAAAAAATATTATATATCCTTGGCTCAACGAGCCGGCTCGTTCAGATCGGAAAATTGGCGAGCGATCTGAGCCGAGGTTTTTCTGGTTCGTTAGAAAACGAGCCTAACGAGCCGAGTCCAAAACGATCCGAGCCAAATGAGCCGAGCCCAAAATGATCTGAGCTGGCTCGTTTGACACCCCTAGTTTTGCATGCCAAATAAGATCCTTGACCTACCTACTTTCATGTTTAGAATTTTCTCCACTTGGACTTTTACTGATTAGCACTCCCGTTTGACCGGAAAATTTTTAAAAAAAAAATTTAAAAATGATTTGAAAAAAAAAATAAGAAGTTGCTGAAATTGACCGGAGAGAATCGATCCGACGAGTCCAATTCCAATCTTATCGACATGCTATAAAAACACTTGAAATTGTTCAAAATAATTTACCAATAATATAAAATTATTCTTACAAAATAAAAAAAATCGGAGCCAAAAACAAACGCACTACCGACTACCGAGGAGAGCATCTACGACATATTCCCGCCGATAAGCCGAGCCGAGCCAGATAGCTCGCGTGGGAAACCGGCAACTCCCGGTCATATCTTAATTTCATCTCATGAAAAAGAATCTACTGTACTCTGTGCGCGGGGATACCCTTATTAATTAGAATTTAATCCTACAATACCAAATACTATTTTAATGTATTTGGCTTAGTTATTGGTTAGTTAATTTATACAAGTTGCAGGCTCCCAAAAGGACAATATATACTGATTGTTTTTTTAATCAGTAACCATAATTATTTAACCATTAACAACCGAAAATGATTAAATTTACATCAATAAAAGAAATATAAACTCATGTATGCAAGGTGCATGTTTAGCTCTTTAGAGGAGATTAAGAAAGGAATAATGATAATAATCAGTCCTTGCAGGTTTACCTGTCACATAAACAAGTGGAAACCCTTCACCAACCTCAAGACAAATCTAATCCGTTCAATTCATCATCCAACGGCTATTGTTTCATCTCAACAACAACACCATTAATCCTATATATATATATTCACCTACCAAGAGCATCAAGGTTTATGTTTCCACCTTTATGAACATTTTCCACTTAATTATTTGGGTGTGATCTCTCCATATAATACATAACAATTTAAATAATAATAATTGTAATCATAATTTTATATGCCATTAATGATCTATGTAAGAGTATATGCCCGAAGACAAAACTTATAGACTTTGCATTGCAGTAACTTTGTATATATTATTACTATGTGAATAAATGAAGGGGTTTCGATTTTCTATTCCTTAGTCGCATTTAAAACAAGGTAATTTTTTTTCCTACTTGCATAACTTAATCGAATAATATATTAAGTGCTAAAAACAAATACTATAATTGAATAAATTAGAGCTCTTAAAAATTTTGAAGATAAAAGTGTACAAATCAAAGTGTAGAAATTATTATAAACAAATTAAAGTTGATAATGCATCCGAATAATGACAGAGAAAAGTAAATAAATTTTTCTTCAGGCCACCAAAACAGTGAGTGCAGGCAGACTGGTTGAACCGGTGACCAGTAAACAGTGCGGTTGAGCTCTATAAATAGTACGGCCTCCATTGCCACAAATCGCACCGAGTCGTTCCTTGTGTTTTGAGGCAAAGCGAGGGAGATCTGCTTCGTGTCTAGATCTGAACGACGATTCTCAAAATCCTCACTTCAGGTATCTCTCTCTTTCTTCTTATTCTTGTTCGTCCCCTTTTCTCTCTCGATTTATTTTCTTCGGTATGAGGGATTTATCATTTTGACGATTTGAGTTGATTTAAGGGTTGTCCCTGTTGAATCTGCCGTGAAATGAGAATTTGTGTGTTATCCCATTGGATTTGATCTTCCTCGGGGAGTTTTCGCTTTTTTTCCCTAATCGAATCCGCGAGTAATGATACTTTCCTTCGTACTCCTGTTCTGCTGCAATGGCTTCTGATGTTACTCCTGTCGATCCGATGCGAAATGATTTTTGATGTTTTTTCCCTTAGATTTGATGATTTCGGGTATGTTATGTGGTATTTCCAGGCTGAATCTGCGAATAAACTACAATATTGATGTTCGTTGATAGATATAAAGCCTTAAGTCAGTTGAATTGGAATTTGCTTATGGATCTGCGTGGTTTGAGTTCTGTAAAGGCTCTTTCTTTCTTCAAATGATCTGATTTATGAATTCCGACCATTTCCTGATATCTTTTTCGCGGTTCTGTATCGGACTTATGTTTTTGCTAAGATCCGGGTTTTAGTCACCGGACAACTACAATTCAGATCTATGTACTTTGGATGGTGTTCGAGTTTGTTGTTTCCAGATCTGCAATAGTTCCGTCTTGATAAACTATTACACGGCAGGTTCTGAGTATTGAAGAACTAAATACATGAACGTTAGATCTCTTCCTGCTCAAGTGGTTTCATCACTGTTATGGGACCAGATCTTGGTTAAATGTAACGGGATCCAACTTCTTATACATAAATACCCATGACTGAGTTGCAGACAAAGTGAATCATCTAATGAGATAAGATGCGGTGGTGTTGTTCTGATTCTTTCGAATCTGATCTGGAATCTTTCTAGCTTTATGTCAGTTGAGTGGAATTAAATGATTCTTCTTTTGTCCCTGGCTCTTTAGGACATTAGGGGCGTGGTTCCACGAAGATTCTTTCTACTGTCATTGCCTCATTCATGATTGCAAGTGTAATATAATAAATGGCTGAATCGGTTTTACTTCTGTTCTTGTAGCTTGTAAGAAAATGGAGACCTTCCTATTCACATCTGAGTCTGTGAACGAGGGACACCCCGACAAGCTGTGCGACCAGATCTCCGATGCAGTTCTCGATGCCTGCCTTGAGCAGGACCCAGACAGCAAGGTTGCTTGCGAGACATGCACCAAGACCAACATGGTCATGGTCTTCGGTGAGATCACCACCAAGGCCAAGGTCGACTATGAGAAGATCGTACGTGATACCTGCCGCTCGATTGGGTTCATCTCTGACGACGTCGGTCTTGATGCGGACAACTGCAAAGTCCTTGTCAACATTGAGCAGCAGAGCCCTGATATTGCCCAGGGTGTTCACGGCCACTTCACGAAGCGCCCGGAAGACATTGGAGCCGGTGACCAAGGCCACATGTTTGGTTATGCCACCGACGAGACACCTGAGTTCATGCCTCTGAGCCATGTCCTAGCAACCAAGCTCGGTGCCTGCCTCACCGAGGTCAGAAAGAACGGGACTTGCCCATGGCTACGTCCCGATGGAAAGACCCAGGTCACTGTCGAGTACTACAACGAGAACGGCGCCATGGTCCCGGTTCGTGTTCACACCGTCCTCATCTCGACCCAGCATGATGAGACTGTGACAAACGACGAAATCGCCCGTGACCTAAAGGAGCACGTCATCAAGCCCATCATCCCTGAGAAGTACCTGGACGAGAAGACCATCTTCCACCTGAACCCATCAGGCCGGTTCGTGATCGGTGGACCCCACGGGGACGCAGGTCTCACTGGACGTAAGATCATCATCGACACCTACGGTGGGTGGGGAGCCCACGGAGGCGGTGCCTTCTCAGGCAAGGACCCGACCAAGGTGGACAGGAGTGGGGCCTACATCGTGAGGCAAGCGGCCAAGAGCATAGTGGCAAACGGGCTGGCTCGTAGGGCCATCGTCCAGGTGTCGTACGCAATTGGAGTGCCCGAGCCATTGTCGGTGTTTGTGGACACCTACGGGACGGGGAAAATACCGGACAAGGAGATTCTGAAGATAGTGAAGGAGAACTTCGACTTCAGACCGGGAATGATGACGATCAACCTGGACTTGAAGAGAGGAGGTAATGGCCGGTTCTTGAAGACGGCGGCGTACGGTCACTTCGGACGGGACGACCCCGACTTCACCTGGGAGATCGTCAAGCCTCTCAAGTTTGACAACCCTCAAGCCTAATCTAATCCCCCACTCTCTCTCTGCCACCGAGTGAACAATAATCAAATTTTCTTCTTTTGTTCTGTTTTCTGTTGTGTCACTTGAAAGATGGAATTATGTTTTGCCCTTTAGTACTTGTGTTTTTTTGGTTTTTGTTGTACTTTTGCTGCTCTTAGCCTTAAAAGCAAATAATACTTTGTTAAGACATTTATTTGGCTTAGCGAAAGAACACTTGATGAATCATACCAACTTGTACACAACACATAGAGATTTTCCACGTGCACCCAAACTATCTTGGTTTTTCATTTTCATTTTCACCTTTAATTATAAAAAAAAATTATGTTATTATGTTTCAAGCTCAATTTTCATTATTAGATTTCGTTTCATTTTTCAACTTTTAAGGTTGTAGCTTAAGATTTTTTTTTTTTCAACTCTCCCCACCGGCTGTGAGATGAAACGTGAATCTCTACCAAATTAAAGTGGTCGATGGAACATCCGACGAATGATGTTGGAACACAAAGACAGAAGGGGCCCTCTTGATTAATGGATAAACCACCAGCTCCCCCTTTTTCATTATAATATATAATCTTCTTCAATCAACCTGCGTGAGCTCTGTCAAAAAACTTATACCCGTTATATACATCAAGAATTGAATTTCCAATAATAAAAAGGAAGAAAAAACTTTACATTTATATTATAATCAAAAGGAGGAGCCTTTTCCTTGAGCTTCAAAGCAGTGATCGGGGTCGTGAAAGATTGGCAACGCATTCAATAGAAGCAATTTCCATCTTCTCTTCTCCTTTCTTTATTGCAAATCCTCCCTACATATATTACGTTTCTTGTGTTTCTAATATCCCATCAAATCAGTAATATCTTCAATTTCCAAAATTAAAAAAAAAAAGATTTTGAGGGAAAGAAAACGATTCATAAATTACTCTCCAACAGATCAGGTAACGTGATCTTCCCCAAATTGTTGGGATCAAGCTTCTCGAACTGGTTAACGACCTGGTTTATATCTTTATTTGTGATCTTTCCCATCTCCTTGAGCTTCATGATCACATACTCCGACTTACTGCCACAAAAACAAATCTAGGATCAATTTTAAATCCAAACTAGAAACCAAAAGGGACGAAACAGAAGAATGGTTCTTCTCTGGGGATTGTTAGAGAGAAGATATACAGACAGAAATGCAAGAACCTCTAGCCTTGGGTTTGACTTGACATTACTCTTTAGAAAAATGTGACCTCACTTGACTATAATAATTTAATCCCCAAGAGGGTTTCTTGCAAGATATTGCACAACCCAATCAATTAGTCAATGCAGCAAGCAAAGCTGTATTATTGAAATTCATGGCCACACGTATGCATGACTATACCCTGAATAGGTTTTTTTTATATTATATGAGTTGCTTAACTAAGAACGGAAGAAGTCTCCGGTGACACAGTTTTCAATTCATATAGCCTTTGAATCTGAACATCAAAACTAAAGATTTAGGGGCTTAAGTAAGCGGATTAGATCCTATTATCCCACTGATAAGCACTCAACAGACAATCAAGACAGAAGCAATTGTGGCAAAGATCATGAACAGAATAAAACGATCATGAGGCCGTTGTTCATTCACATCAACCAAACCAAACAGAGATCCAATCAAAAAACTCCATGGCTTGTGATAAAGACTTGGACTTTGATATTACCTGATGAAACGGTGCTCGTATGTATCAGCAGTGAGCAGATCATCAACTGTAATGTCTCTATGCAACGCCAATTTCACGGCTTTCCGGTGCCGGCGATCGATCCTTGCCTCTGCCAGGTACAGAAACGCACGCGCCACCGCGAGGGTTGAAACGAGCAGCCAAACCGCCGCGAAGAGCCTCCCTTCCAACGTCTTGAAAGCCCTGTCCCCATACCCGACCGTCGTCACCGACATGACCGACAAGTAGATCGAATCCACCCAATCCAGACTCTCCACGAAGAACAGAACCAGAGATCCCACTCCGATGCACAACACGACCACGCACAACGCTAAACCCACCTTCAACCTTATCCGCATCCGACCTTTCTCCACATCCACTATGTAGTCTCTCGCCGAGAACTTGTCCCGATTTCTCGACGAACCCATCTGGATTCCGGTCAGGATCATGCTCTCCTGAAGGTCCAACACGTAGTTCACAACCCCACTGAGGAGAATATCCAGGAACCCGAAGCCGAACAAGACGAAGACGACGGCGAAGATCTTAGTCGCCGGAGTCAACGGCGCGATGTCCCCGTAGCCGATCGTGCACATGGTGACGATGCAGAAATAGAGCGCGTCGACGACGGGATGGGTCTCGACGCCGGAGTAATGATCGCGGTTGAAGGAATAGATAGCTACTCCGAGGGTTAAATAGACAGCCAGCAAGATCATCGCTTGTTTGATGATCGATTTGGAGACGGGCGATGGTTTTTTGACTTCCGTAGTCTTGGGTTGGAGGTCCTTGATGATAACCATAGCCGGAGCAGTCCGGCACCGGTGAAGAGGCCTCGGCTTCACGAAGAACGGAGCTCCGCCATGGGACTCCGGGTCAGTCCCGGATTGGTCATCGAGTTCTTCGTGAATACGGTCTTGGTGTAGAGAAATCTCCGGCAAGAAGATGGGAGTGGAGACGGAGTGAGGGATTGTGGCGGCGGAGGAATTCGCCGGAATGGGGGCGAGGTGGAAACGCGGTTGGGAAACGAGGAGAGGCTCATTTTCCATTCAAGAAATCAAGAGAATGGATTTCGGCAGCCTCAGAACTCAAAATCAAAAAGAGAGAGAAGCGCTTTAGCTTTTGAGATTTTTTTTTCTCGTTTTGTACATTGGTTGGTGGGGTATATATGCGTGTGTGTGTACAATTTCAGATAAAATAAAGATGACCCTTTGCTTATATCATCAATGAGATTGACTCTTCGTGTGAGCATAAAGGCGAACCAACATTTCCATCATTATGGGAGCATGATCCAATTCAATTCTACTCACCAATCAAGATCATCTTCTAATTCCTGAAATTAACTTTAAAAATTACTGCTACAAATCTTTGATTTTTTTTCTTTAAATGACTAGAAAGTGCAACATTATCATCCACAGTCAAGGAAGTACAAATTTTCCATGTTCCTATCTCATTGTTATGGAAGTTGGGGGTACCATAATTAATACACTCTAATAACATTTCAATAATCGTGGATTGGATACCATCCATGGCATGGGGGCTAAGAAAACATTAATACATGAATAAACTTATTCTTTTATTGTTTGGCGAGGAGATGCTAGTGCTAACGTTAAAATAAGATGTGGGGTTCTTAGCTTGGAATGTTGTCTTTTCCCCTCTTGCAGTTGATGTACTCATCTCTCTCTTTGGATGTACATGTACATGTTCCTCTTCTTAGAGATGAGGCTATTTTGCCGATTAGACTTATATATATATATATATATATATAGTAGAATTTATAAAGATCGATGTGGATATACATATAATGAAAGAAATTGGGTGTTTTTAATTTGTGTGATTTTGTTTTTTTTATGAAAGAAAATATAAACAAGAAAGAAAGTCAGAGAAAATAAAAAAACAGAAGGGGGCAAATGGTATAAGCCCATAAAGAATGGCCCAAACTAGGAGCCCATAAATGGCATAAGCCCATAAATAATGGTTCGTGTATAGAATGCGTGGAAACCCAAGTCCATATCAGAAATCCGAAAGGGTCCCACCAAAAACAAACAAACAAACATACATGCACATATCAATATATACACGCACATACATATGCAGCTTTCTGTTGTTGTTTTTTTCTTGTCGGTTGCCTGATTTAGAACCCTAGAGTTTCTGCTTGATCATGTGGTTTTCAGTCGAAATTCGTGATCCGTGACAGAAAATTCCACCAGCAATTGTGGTGGGACCGTTGTCTGATGGATTCAATTCAAGGATCTCAGCAGATATTGAAAGGTTTCTGAAACTACTTATGTCGGACATTTCAATCGGAAAACACAGTTTTACACGAACATAGAATATGATAATATATCAACACAAGTTGGATTATCTAACACGAAAAAGAAGCTTTGAACATATAAAATAGTCCCTATTTATTATAAACGTACCTAGACAGGAAGCTGTTAACCTCGGCGGCCATGTCGTAGGCACCTTCCACACACCGGCCCAAGGCTACACCCGAGACGTAGTTGCCGCCCAGGAATATCCCGTCGAGCCCAGAAGACGCCAGAGAGGCTTTTGCTGCGTTTAAAATATCAAGATGACCGACCAGAAACTGGGGAATGGCCTGAGGCCACACCCTTACCCCCAGTACCAATGGGTCAGTTGAACTCGGCTTTATCAGCATCTTCCTCAGGTCTCGATCCACCGCTTCCACCAACTCACCTTCTGACTGTAAAGATGTGAACTTTTAAGTGATTGTCTTGTCTTAGAAACTTAATATGCATGGTTGTAGTTAATTTACCTTGGTTAAAATCCCAGGGTTCGTAGCGCCACCGATGTAGTTCAATAGCAAAACTCTGCCGGGTGGAGCTCGATTTGGAAACAGCGAAGAGCTGTATATAGTTCCTGCATGAATGGAAGGAACAACACAGTCATTTCAGCTCACCACTTTTATATAACTTTGCTCGTATTTGCAGAAGGAAGATTCACCAAGAGTTTCCACTCCTTGTGTGCGTGGATGCAACTGCCCAAACCCCTTAAGTTCACCGTCTATTAAGCATTCAGTTCGGATCGCCTCTTCTGGATATGAAACAGATACTGCTGCAACCGGCGGATAGTAAAATTTCGAGAGCGCATCTGCCGCGGAACCCTGACAAGAGAAAGGTAACACTTTCAAGAAGCAAATCAGCGTTGAGATCCCACATTAACCTAAATTGCTTTCTGTAACATGAATGTCAATGACAGGAGGAAGCTGCCCTCTAGCACTTTGCTTTGGTGCAAAACACTGCTTGGTAAACTATCCAGTGATAGGAAATCCAAAGTGTAGCACGAAAATGCATGAATATTTTGTCGAATTGATCGGCGCATCATAAATTAGTAAACCCAAAATGTGTCTACTTAAAATTGAAGGAAAAGTTTTTCCGGGCCATGAGTCGTGACTGTTGGATATTAGCTTCTATTGAGTTAAAAAAAAAAGGCAGAAGCTGGGTCACAGAACCAGACAGTGGGATAGAGAATATAAACTAGACGAGAATGGCGCGTACTTTGGAGATCACGAAAGCAACATGTGAATGTACCAAAAAAAAATTAATCAGAATGAGAAACATACCGAAAGAGGGCGTAACAAACTGCTTGCGACATGAGATGGCACTGTCATGACCACACTTTTGGTCTGTACGGAAACTAACCCTTCTGGAGTTTCGTAAGTTAAGATATATCCTCCACCATCCAAGTTAGAAATACCTGAAAGCTTCCAAGACAACTTAACTTTGCTACCCAACCTGCAAACCATGAAAAAATATGAAAAATTTTAGCAAGCGCTTGCCTATTCCACAGTGGAGAACATTTGACAGAGGGGGAAAAGGGTACCTTGCAGAGATTGCCTCGGGCAACATCTTGAGTCCCTTCCTGAAAGAACCAACTGTTTGACCCTTTGGCTTTGGTAGCCGTCTGCATTATCATGCCAGGTTCAGTCCATTAACAAGAGTACACAACAACAGAACCCACAGAAAGATACACTACTTACGGGTCTCGAGGTGTCTTGGGAGCTTTACTTCTCTCCTGAATTGCCTTAAAAGTACCACCAATTATGCTCCCACCATTCTGCTCCAGTTTCCAAACTTTCCCAAAAGCTGCTTTCATACTTAGTTTTGAAGGATCGCCCGCATAAACACCTGAATGTACAGAATTTGGAGCAGCCAGGGCATTTTAGAATAAGCAAAAAGAGGCCCTGTTGCGTTGCAAGACTGAAGTGTGAAAGACTGGAAGGCTAACTCTATAAATAACACTACCTGAACAAAATGGCTCAATCAGGCGCTCAAAAACCTCATCACCAAGATTACGCCGTACAAACTCTTCCACAGATTCCTCACGACCCTGTCACCTTTGTCAAACTCTAAGAACATGAGTAAATTTTCTCCACATCAACCAGAGTAATGGACAGGTGACAGTCGAAAAATTTAAGGTCTTATAGTGGTCAGAGTACAAACTGGAGGTGGCGGTCGAATGCCGATAGCACCAAGTCCAGCCCTAATTTTCCCTCCAATGCTCATCAAGTCAAAGAACGGCAAGTCAGTTGGCTTAGATGGAACCGGCCTCAATTTTCCATTCCACAAGACAAATCTTGGCGCATTAGGATCACCCAACACTAACTCATCCTTCAGCCCACTATCTACCTGCATTTACAGTACAACGTGAAGGCAAATCCATGAAACCAAACAAAAGCATCCTAGCAAGAACTCCTACACAAAACTACAAAACAGTAAATTTCAAGTTACAGCACATCCACATTCCAATACCATAGTTCTCCTGCAGAAATCACAAGTAAAACGGTACTTCCAAAATCAAACTAGTTGTGAAAAAAGAAATCGGTTCACATTGCTGGTGAACTCCATGCCCCAGCTTAAGTTCCTTATCCATTGATTCCAACTATAGCTAAAGATGTAATAGTAATCAGCAACAAGAACCGACCTAACTCTCTCAGAGAAAATCTCACAGACGAGAAATGAGGGATCAAGAACGCACCACCATAGTGAGCATAGGATCGGACGGCTGAAAACTGTTGGGGCCTTCTTCCCAGAGATAACCGCCCCCTTCTCGGGTGGTGATGTTGCCTCCAACGCGATCCTTGGCCTCCGTCACGATCACATTTGGAGCAACGTCAGGGTGTTTCGTCGCGAGAGCCTGCGCGATGCAGAGGCCGCTAATTCCACTGCCTACGATTACGCAATCGGCCGTAACGGCTATGTAAATGGGGATTAGAGTTGCCGTAACGGCTGGGGCTCCGCCGTCGATACTGGACGAGGCGATAGCCGGACCACCGGCGACCGAGCAACGGAGCTTCAAAGGCCTGTAGGCATGTGATCGCGGTTTAGGCTTGGGGAATGACGGAAGAAGAGACTGCGTCGCCGGCCGGAGGAGAGATAATTCCATGGCTTTCGCCGGCGATATAGAGAGAGATTCTCCGTTTGTCACGTTTTGCGTGCGAGCAATCTGATAGGTGAAGTTAAAACGACGACCAGATTGCGCTATCTAATGAGAAATATTCAGCTGCAAACGATCACACCATACCCCCCCCCCCCCCCGCGGTACGTATTGGGCCGCACGCATTGTTAAATGGGCCCAAATGCTATATATTTATGGACTGTGATTTAGAGAATATATTGGGCTTCTAGTTATCAATAACAAATGGGCCCAAATCTCATTTTTTTTTCTTTTTGGGAATTATATAATGCCGATATTTGGGAATGGATACAAAACAAAAGTCGCTGTCGTTTATGGGATAGGGACATGGAGTGGGTATGGTTTTGCGTCGTCGCTGGATCTGAACCACTGAATGAAAGTATCAGACAGATCAAACACCATGGCGTGTCCGTCACGAGGGTATCACGTGAACGACATGCTTTTTCCCCCTAACTTTTTGGATTTTGATTTTGATGTTTCTCTCCTTCAGCCCCCACATGCTCGGTGGAATAAGATAATGTCTCCCCCCAAGCATGCTTATTTTCAAGATATGGATAAGACCCGATATCTCCCTTTTTTATTTTATTTTTGAAGAAATATATCGGCTACCAATTTAATGGAAAATCATGGACCGTGTCGTACACGATCATATATATATATATATATATCCATTGACATTATCCGGACTGTTCAATAAGTCCACGTGGCATGGAATAACTGGCCACGGGATTCAGCTGACAACTATAAACCGAGTCAGGGCATAAATTCAAACCAGGTTCCATTTTGCACTAGTCACGCAAAAAATTTCCTGCATATATTATTATCATTTTCTTCAAGTCCATAACTTTCTCTCGGATCTTCCTCCATATTTCTCCGATCGATGTGAGTTCTCTGAATCCATCTACGTGTATGTTTTCTCGAATCTAAGTCTTCAGATTTTCTAGGTTTTCTCTCTCCCTTACTAGCTTTTCTTGGTGTATATACTAAAAACCCTAACTTGCAGGTTTGGTCAAGATTTCATGGCACTTCATGATCTGCAACTGTCTGAGATGATTAAACTCGGAAGCAACGAGAAAATGGCAGAAACCCCAAGTGACTGTTACAATTATAAGCAAGGAGGTCACATGAACGAGGACATGATGACGGTCTTGTGCGAGGAATTTCAGACAGATCCACAGATTGTTCCACAACTTGATGATTGTACCAATATGGTTTTCGATCAAGAAGTGGTTGCTGAGAGTTTACATCATGGATCGGCGATGATGGCGATGAAGGGACTTCATCAAGGGCATGAAGTTTCCATGAAAGCTGCAGAAGTTTTAGTTCCCGACCAGCATTCAGAAGCCGGTGGTGACTGTCGTCGTGCTCCTCCGAGGACGAAACACGACAACTCCAGACGCTGTACTTGCACTTCAAGTGATGTATGTGAATACATTTTATGTATATATATATACCCACACACACAGAGAGAACTAACACAAGTTTTCAGTTGTTTATGTTTTGTTAACCTAAAAGCGATTGTTAATTCAGGAGTCTGTAGATGACGAAGAATCATCAGACGGGTTTACGAGAGAGGTTCCTTGGGTGACAAGCAAAGGCTCCAAGAGAAAACGAATCATGGAAGCTCGCGATGATAAGGTAAGATTTTCACTCGAAGAGATTACTTAAGTTTTTCTCTCTCTCTCTCTTTACAGTTTCACTTTGTGTGGGCAGAAGAAGAGACGAAGAGCTGAAATAAATCAGAAGTTGCGTCTGTTACAGAATCTTATACCTAATTGTGACAAGGTTGGTGTACATATATATATATATATATAGAAACAGACATACAAATATACCGTATACGCAATATTTTAGGGCTTTTGTTTATGAGAAAGATAAAATAGAATATACATATTCCGTACATATAATACGGAATACTGTTGATCTAATCAACGGTTCCATACATATGGTTTCAGGTGGACAAAGCTTCAGCTCTTGATATGGCCATTGAATATACGAAGAACCTTCAGCTTCAATTGCAGGTACGTTAAAACCTATGCAAGGACTCAAAAGCTATACCTAATTATCAAGTATCCATACATATATATATATATATATATATATATATGCACATATACACACGTACGTATTGAACTGTTTTATGCAACATCATAACACAAATCATTTCAAATTGTTACAAATTTCACGGAGATGTTTCTAACGATCATTCAACGGGAAATATCACAGGTGATGTCAATGGGGATTAGAGTTTATAAGCCGCCGGTGATAAATATAAACGCATGTACGCATATTCCGTACTTCTCGCCAATGGCGATGTCATTTGGACACTGCAGCATTCCGGTGAACCCAGTGGCCGTACCGTTAATAACGCCGTTTAACTCTCCGTTATCTCCTCTCCTCCAGCAGTTGCCAAAGCAGGCTCTGCTCTCCCCGACAGCATCTACTTCTTTTCCGTCTCTTCTGGGTTTGGTTCCTTCGAGTTTCCATGAGTTTTATCCCACGTGTAATAAAGAACTCTATGACAGATTCAGATTTTTATGAAAATGGCCATCTTCGTACACAAAGATTTCACACCGATAAATCACGCTGCCATAATATTTTCGGATATTACATTAAAACTCGTGACAAGAAATATTGCGAACCGATCCAGTTTATATTTGGACCGTATATTGTAAAGTTTAAAATAGATGTAAAATAAATGTCGATACACTAATTGAGCCGGGCCCTGTTAGTGAGTTTGGGCTCATTTTCACTTCGGAGAAAAAAACGACGATAAGAAGAAAATAGGCCCAATGGGCTTTTTACATTGCATATCTTCAGTTTTTTTTTCTCACACATTAAATAGGCATATATATTATTTTCACAGGTGACAAAATATCCTTTAAAAACATTATTTTGGAAAAAAAATAATAATAAAAGAAAGAACTTTAACGTTTCGGTGAAAACTGTAGCCACAGTTTAGGGCACCAATATGTGATTATGTAGACTTGAAAGCGAATTGTATATATCATTATGTAAATATACTTTGGGAAAAAGCTTAGTGATCAAATTTCATATGATTCATGAATATTAATAATGAACACACTCTTGATTAAACCTTCATTTTTTCCCTTCTTTTGTGCTTCCTATAAAAGTCAGCTTTGCCATGATAATCTCTGTCTGGCATATATATTATTTTCACAGGTGACAAAATATCCTTTAAAAACATTATTTTGGAAAAAAAATAATAATAAAAGAAAGAACTTTAACGTTTCGGTGAAAACTGTAGCCACAGTTTAGGGCACCAATATGTGATTATGTAGACTTGAAAGCGAATTGTATATATCATTATGTAAATATACTTTGGGAAAAAGCTTAGTGATCAAATTTCATATGATTCATGAATATTAATAATGAACACACTCTTGATTAAACCTTCATTTTTTCCCTTCTTTTGTGCTTCCTATAAAAGTCAGCTTTGCCATGATAATCTCTGTCTCCCTATTATTATTATTATTATTATTATTATTATTATTATTATTATTATTATTATTATTATTATTATTATTATTATTATTATTATTATTATTATTATTATTATTATTTCTCAATTTTATTCATCTTAGATGTATTTTGGCTAGATTATTAATACTAGCCGATCTTAGATATCGCAATATAATGTTTCTCTATTAATATCATTAATGTTTGCATATATACGGTGCGTAAATTATATGGCATTAAATGAAATAAAATGAAATGCAAGACTTTTCAAAAGTAAGGGCTGTAGGTAATTAATTATATTACGTGTACATCATAAATTGCAAAGCCAGTCGCTAGGCCATGCTTATTAAAATCGAATAGTAATTATTTTATATATATCTCAAACAAAGCACGATGATCTCTTTGAGATAAAAAAAAAAAAGAAGCCACGTCGGTATAGTTAACACCACATACATAAATAAAGATGTGACTAATGCATGTGTTTATGTTTTCCCTAATTAATTTCATGAAAAGCCCAGCGATTATATGCGTCTGCCTGTCTCTCGATCGTGTCATTGCCCAATTATATTTCTAAATAAACTTAGGAAATATACGGCAAAAAATAAAATACATTTGACTGTTTAGTTTTCGGAATCTCAACAATAGATAAAAACATCAATCGACAACGATATGGAATGATTCTTTTTTATAAAAAAAAATAAAGATAACATTATTGGAGTAAAATAAAGTTAAATAAGTAGCATATAAGAAATTATTAGCTATGGAATTTGAGATCAAGGGTGGGATTGAAGCAATATGTCCATAATCCAAAATTGTTGATCTTTCAAATCAGATGGGTTGTCATCCTCTTCGAAAGGGGCAACCATGGAAAAAGATATGTGTGAGGCAAAAGATCATTCATTTTTATACCAAATTTAATTAAGAATATATATATATATATATATTCAAAGACATAATGAAATCCTCGATATATATTTCCAAATCACATTTGATTATATGTGATCCTAAAGTGATCATGATTTTACTTTGTGCCTTGTTCACTAATATCCCATCAAACATCCCATCTAGACCCATACAAACCTAGTTCCAGTGAAATTATATATACCCAAAAAAAAATTGGTTGCATATGTCCACGACCACTCGCATATACCACTTATAATTTCATTTTCACTTTTGCGCCATATAACCATCCCGACCAATTAAAAAAATAATTTAAAAATAAAAAAAAACCATCCCAACCATATATATACATATATATTCCAAAAAATTAAATTCCCGTCTTTTTTTATATAATTCAAAGGAGAATCATAAGTAATTTCTATATCTTGTGTACAATAATTAAGAAGAGAGAGAGAGAGAGAGAGAGAGAGAGAGAGAGAGATGCGCTGCATGAGGACATGAACCAGCAGTGCCACGTCAGCACAAACTCAGCCGTGTGGACAGCGATGCACCGCAATTTCATATTATTTTTAATACAATGCATATCTATATATACATACTGTCCGCTCAATTGAATGTATATATTGTATCGCGAAACAAATACTCACCGTTTGTGTACAGGATATATATTATTGGAAGTAGTTATAAACATTAGATCATTAGTTACAAAATTCACAAATTAAAAGCGCATACGTTTTTTCGATTTGAATATCCATAATCATTAGATTATACCATACGTATTAATAAATTTTTTAACCATCGAGAAAAATATCTAATGATGTCGGAAACTTATGATTAGAAAAATGTCATGACAAGCTTTTTCTTGTCGGTATGAGATTATCTGAATAATTAACATGATTAGCGAAAATCAGATATTGTCTATATCATTGGTCGAAATGACATGACGGTGGCAATTTGACAATGGAAAAAGAAATACGATCATTTACATTTGTCCATATCCTTGTGTCTGTGCGTTTACACGGTATATTTTTATTTGTATGGAATTTATAAAGATAAATAAAGAAACCTATAATTTAAAGTGGGAAATGAAATTGAATACGAGACAACAAGGTGTCGCTGTCTAGAGTACGTGACATGGTACACGAGAAACTTGGACGTGTGCATTGACACGTATCTTGTCGTTGGCCCCAACCCTTATAATTTCCAATTCCAAATATTCTCAATATTTTTTACATGTAAATATGTATTTCCAATAATAGTCACCGACCCGTACAGCTATTCATACTATCTTCATATCCTCTATATATTAACATAATATATATATATATAGCTGAGAAATTCATCAAAATATTTAAACAATAATTTACATAAATCTTATCAAAATATTATATGGGGTTCTAAATCACACGGTCCAAAGTGCATTGGATACTTGTCAGTTATCTCTACTTTTTTCCAAAGATAAAACATGTCATTTTAAATTTTTTACATGATTGGATAAAATTGCAATAATAATTGGCAAATGACCTAGTCGGGGCCCATAACGACCCAATTCCGGATCCACGAGACTCCGTCACGTGAAGCTAACCTGGATCTGGATCTGTACGGTCGGAAAATGACGTCAGATCTATAGATGGCTGATGTCGGAGTCATAGGCCCACTGAATTGGACACGTAAGTTTTCCGACACGTAGGCGTTCGAAGTCCATATAAAATAACGGCGTCGGCTTTGTTCAATCATTATGACCGTTACGACATAAATCCTCCGGCGCAGGTGGTTTTTTGGGTCCCACGTTAAAACTTTCCACAGTTACCATGCCGTAAGAAATGTGAAATGCCACAAAAAAAAAAAACATAAGTGTGCTGTATGGTGTGATTACATATACACAGACAAACACGTAAATGTACAAAACAGAAAACATATTAATTCTAGAGTTAAATATAATTATCGATTATATTTTTTTCTATTCAAATAAAATTTACATACCAGTGATTACGATATAAAACAATAAATACAACAAATTATATCATTAAATAAAGTGTTTAACAATATTATGATTTATTAATAAAGTTTAATTTAGCGTATTTGGGTCGGGGCGACGGCAGAAAGTTGCGTTATTAAATATGGGTTTCTTTGCCAAATGAAAGTGGGAAAAAGACTTAGAATCTTCGGGGGAGACAGTTTCTAAAGTGCCAAGACTAATACATAAATATATAGTTTTTATTTTCCGAAATTAGACGAACTTACTTGCTTCCGGGAGTACGGATTCGGACATATATTAGTAATCGTGTTATAAGAAAAATTCCATAAATAATATTACTATGTATCTTACATATCACACTATAATCACATCTTATATATCACACTAATTATTTTTTGAAACCATAATAAATTTAACATTATTATCAATGTGACAACTATATAACCATACGTCGTGCATGGAGAAAAATATGTGTAAAAATAAGTTTAGTAAAAAAAGAATATTTTAGATATTTTCTTTATTAATAACAGCAATTTTATAGTAATAACTCGTGAAGCAGGCATATACTTTCACGTTTACATTGAGAAGGATCGGAGAAACTCAATAACGTTGGTCGCATGCATGCATGCGATTGCGATCATAAAGATTAAAGGTGCAAAAGATATTATGGTTGTAATTTTCCAATTAATTTGACGGAAGTTCGTTGATATATATATATATATATATATGAATTTAGATTTTTTACATATAGAACACACACATTTTGATTAATATTTTAGTTTAAATTGCTTTATCATTCCGTTTGATTATATTCTGCTATATGTACATATATATATATATCGATATTTTACATCAAACATTTTTGTGCAATTCGATACATGACATGTTAGTTCATGTATGTGAAATATTATATATATATATATCCAAAATGCATGATATTTAATATCATAAGATTTACTAGTTTTAACTAACGGAATCCGGCAATCCCATTAATTGGCAAAAACTCACTGTTAGTTTATCGTTATATATAAATAACTGTTGTAATTTTAAATATTCCAATGCGTTTGAGTGCATATATGTTAGTGGTACGAACTTTTTGTTTTGATGGGAGAGATGGGATCATAGGGCACAGATTTTCACCTAACAAATAAAATAATATATCTTAATCAAATGATGGTGAAATTAAAGATTGGATAAGCC